TCCCCAATAAAGAGAGGATCCAGGTATAGAAATAATGTCATTGTTCTCTTACCTCTGTGAATTAGTTGGCACCTGAAGAGTTGATCTTATCCAAATACCTTCACTTTCTTGCTTCCTTTTGCTTCATGTTTCTCTCAGGAAACTCCCAGAGACTGGCCAGTCTTTAAACTGTCTAAAAATGTCAATGAAGCAGCACTCAACCAAAACTCCTGTGGGCTTCAGTTGCAGTTTGGCTCATGTAAACAATGAAAGCTGTAGAGTGTGGATTTTGCTTTTTCCTTTCATAAAATAATTTGCAGAATACTATGATATGAAGAGAATTCTTCATGGGTCTCATTCCCATTTAAATCTCATCAGCTTTGTAGAATGCCACTGCCAAAACCTTACCTTTTTTTTTTCAAAATTATGCCACTTATAAGATACAAATACAAATAATGTGTAGATATAAATTTATAAGCCAGTAAAGGGGAGAGGACCATAGCTAGCTGAGTGTGGCAACAGGTTATTTGTTGCAAATGTTTTGGTGCCCTCCTGGTAGCAGCATAGGGAAGAGCATAATGGAAGAATTCTCTTCTATATCTTCTTACCTTCAGTAAGTCCAAAACAAAAGGAGTAGAACTAAAAGCAGATTTTAGTTTTCCCTAAATTGTATTATATTTTATAGCACGGTATAACTTTATCATATGTAGTATATATATATACACACTGTAGATAAATATGTTATATAGTATATAGATAATTTTATAGCATTATTTAAGTGTTTTAGTTATTTTCCTCCCAGTTTTTGATCTAGGAGCCTCAAGGGACCCTGCAGATCTTTTCTGAATTCTCCTTGTACTCTGGGATGTTGAATACAACTGTACAACTTAATGCACTGCCGTGCAAGGACAGAGGAGAAGCATCTTTTCAAATTTCAGTGGTTTAAGTCAAATTCTGTCTTTGGAAACCTCTTCATTGTTTGTAGCTGTCAAAGGAGTGACAGAGATACGTTCAAAGAGAGAAACTGGCCTTGAATATATCCTGCTAAATTAATTTGGTCTTACCTGCAGTTAATTACATAGGTTTTGGATGGCACACTGTGAATAGTTTGATCAGACATACTGGGGGTACAAGGCAAGTGTGACACCTTGCTAACCTGTTTAAGGGGAATTATGATCTTTTCATTTTAATCATCCCAGTCACAAAGCAAAAGCATTCAACCAGCTGTGATCATGAGTTAGTTTCTTTCCCGTTGAGCTCATGGAATTTTTAACATGTTCCTTTGAGCATGCAGAGAAATTTTGTTATATACCAAAGGATCTGAGAAGCCAATGGCAAACAAATCTGGTCCTGCTGGTTCTCCTGCTCCTGGCTCACAGTAAGATGGCAATGTCTTCTTTCTTTCTTTCTTTCTCTGATTCTTTTCTCCAGAGTATCTTCTTTCTTTCTTTCTCTGATTCTTTTCTCCAGAGTCCAACCGAGAGGCTATTGGTGCTGCTCAAGGAGTCACACCCCTGCTGGCCCTTGCCAAATCCTATGATCCCAGAGTCCAACAAAACGCAGTTGGTGCTATTCTCAACCTCACCCAGTCAGGTACTTTTGGACTAATAGCTTATCTAAGATTGCTGAAAGAAACATTCTCACTGATAGAAAAATAACTCAAAAGGGTTAAGGCAAGAATAAAAGTGCATCTGAACAACAAATTATTTCCTTTGCATATGGCAATCATGTTGATACCAGGAGCTGATGATTTAAGTTTAGCTTCTCTTTAGCTAATCCAGACCCCATTTTGCCTAGTACTGAAATAGGAAGGCTTGATTTTCAACCCCGAATCATCAAAGAAACAGAAAAAGAATAATAATTTGTTAAAGAAATAACTTAATCTAAAAAGTTAGGAGCACATTTAGCACTTTGAAGCAATCTCAGAAACTTATCCGACAAGGTCAAGCTCTGGGAATGTGTGATTTGTATCCCTAACTTGGTGTTGGAAGATGCAGAATGTAACTATTATGGCCTAGACATTAAAGGCTCCTGGGATATCTGCCAACAGCTTTAGCAAAAGTGGTATTTGGTCCTCTGCAGTAATATGTGCACTACCATACATTAACTCTGAAACAAACCAGCATTAGATCTCACTTAAATAGATGATATCATTATCCTGCACAGCTCAATGACACAGTCCTGAGCAACGTCTCTTACCTCTATTTGGTGGAAGGGGATGGTTGGCAAGGACTTCTGCAGTTGGCTGTTACGCTTCCATTATTATTCAGAATTTTTAAAATAATTTGGGAATTTTTTTTTAACACAGAAATCATGGGGAATATTGTTATGCTTCCATTATTATTCAGAATTTTTAAAATAATTTGGGAATTTTTTTTTAACACAGAAATCATGGGGAATATCGTACCTGAAGGTTTTTCAGCTTCTCCAGCAATTCACATTCCCGGAACAGTCTTTAGCATGAAACCAGCAAAGCCTTAATCGATCAGACAGCCTGGTAGTCATTTTGCTAAAGTGTCTGCTTATTGCTATATTGCACAAACTCTAATTATATCCTCTCTTGTCACACTGATTGGCATGTATTTGGACAACCTCACCACTCTCTAGAATCCAATGATTGTGCATATCCCTTTGGAATGGTGCCTCCAGATGAGATGAGATGTGTCTTTGAAGGGAAAAGACACACTAACAGCACTTTAATATTTTTTTTTTAAATGCAGAGAAAATCCAACAGGTCCTATGCAAGGAAGGAGCCCTGCCAGTTCTTGCTTTGCTGCTGGAATCTCCTGACTCAGAAGTGCAGGTACGGCTCAAAACAGGTCAGATCTTTAAACAGCAACAGCCTGACTGTAAGGAGAGTCCAAACCACAGCCTGTGGAGATGAAAAGGTGGAGATGAGGTTTCTCTAGAGGGGAAACACATGACAGCAGCTTGGTGAAACTCAGCTTAGTCAGATAATGTATATTCAAACCACTCAATTTGTTTAGCTCCACAGGAGAAAGTTTATAATGCAGGAGGGCATCTGCCAGCACACACTAACACAGCACACAGTTGTCATGTGGTTACCTTCCTGTGTCTTTCAGATCATCAGACAAGTTGCAGACTAAGCCTCTTCCTCTGTTTTTTTTTTTTTGCACTTTAACTTTGATCTTCTGCTCTAAGCAATTTTACTTAGTGTTCTGAGAAGACATAATTTGCAAAGATATTTTCTTCTTATTGTAAGTGTCTGGGAAATCTCCTTATTTAATGCCTCCCACAGACACCTCTGCGATTTTGCATACTTAATAGAGAGCTGGTCTTGGTTCAAAAGTACGCTAATTAAAAACTAGGAATCAGAGTTGTAAACCTGAAAATCCGCTAGTTCATTCATTTGGTCCTCTGAGTAGCACAGAATTGTTTCCTCCATCAATTTTGTTATCTGTATTCAGTCTCTTTTAAATGTCTGAACTGATGGAACCTCTGGAATTGCTTTCTGCAAACTGTTTCAGCACCATCAGCTTTCTCTGAGATTCAGCTTAAAATTTCCTTCTCTGCAGTACAACCTGTTTCTTCTAATTATACCTCTCTAGTAATACATGCTCTTATATATATAATCCTCCCTAGCATTAATGTTTAAATCCTTTGAAAATGATCTCCTGGCGTGCTAGGCCAATGACTACATCCAGCTTGAGTAAATCAATGCAAACATATAATAGAGTAGATGCAGATGAGCAAAGTCAGGTGCCAGCAGCGCGGTACCTTCCTGAATACCTGGGGTCCTGAGGGGTTTGTACAACATCCAGTGCCACAGCACGACTGCTGTTGTGGTGACAGCAAATTGCATCACTTCTTATGTAAAGAAGTGGCTAGAACGTGAAGAGTTGTTGCTAAAGAGTAGCAATGACCAGGTTGCAAGTTTATGGGTAAGAATTAGGGATTGGGACAACAAAGGGAGCCTTGTGGTAGGAGTCTACTACAGGCCGCCTGACCAGGCAGAGCCTGTCAATGATGCCTTCTTACTCCAGCTTGAGGAGGCATCACGATCACAGGCTCTCATCCTGCTGGGGGACTTTAACCACCCCGACATCTGCTGGAAAAGCAACACAGCTGGCTGCAGACAATCCAGGAAGCTCCTAGAGTGCCTAGATGACAACTTCCTGCGACAAGAAATTAACAGCCCTACTCGAAGAAATGCATTGTTGGACCTGTTGGTCACAAATGCAAGTGGGATGCATCAGGGATCTCAAAATTGAAGGTAGCCTGGGCTGCAGTGATCATGCCCTAGTGCAGTTCACTGTCCTACGGAGTTTGAAGCCCACAAGAAGCACAGTTAGGACTCTAAATTTCAAGAAAGCAAACTTCCAGCTTTTCAAGGAGTTGGTAAATAGGACCCCATGAGAAACGGCCCTCAGGGACAAGGGAGCAGAACAAAGCTGGCAGATCTTTAAGGATGCTCTCTATAGAGCACAAAAGATCTCAATCCCCACATGTAGGAAAACGGGCAAGGAGGGCAAGAGACCACCATGGTTGAGCCAAGACCTGCTGGTGAAACTAAGGGGCAAGATGGGGCCACGCAGGAAATGGAAGAAGGGACAGGAATCCTGGGAAGATTATAGGGATGCTGCCAAGATGTGTAGGGATGAGGTCAGGAAGGCCAAGGCACAGCTAGAACTGGACTTGGCAAGGGATGGAAAGGAAAATAAGAAAGGCTTCTACAGGTACGTTAACCAGAAAAGGAAGGTTAAAGAAAATGTACCCCCCCTGATGTGCGACAGTGGGGAACTTGTATCAACAGATGAGGAGAAAGCAGAAGTTCTCAATGACTTCTTTGCCTCAGTCTTCACTGGCAACCCTTTCTAGAAGAAGCCCACTCGGGCTGCTGTCACATCTACCCAATGAAACACCCTTAGGATGAAAAAGCACTTCATTTTCATCAGCTCTGAATTTGAGCATTTCTGCAATTTATTTTTCTTCTCTTCCAACACATCCCCGCTGTGACCTCCTCTCTCTCTCTCTGCTTTTTTCCTCTGGGTTCCCTGCAGTATTACAGCTGTGCTGCCCTGAGCAACCTGGCAGCCAACGCTCGGCACCACGAAGCCATGCTGAGACCTGGCAGCAGATTCCTGCTGCGGACACTCATCTCCCTCCTGTCCTCTTCTGTGGACAAGGTAAAGCTCTCACTTTGTCTTTTTGTATAAAGGCTTAGCATCAGAGTAAAGCTGGAAATTTGGGCTTCCAGTTTCAGTCTTGCACAATTTTTCTCATCGACTGTACAGGTGCCTGTGCAGCATCTTTCCCATGAGAAAAGACATATCTATTAGAAGATATGTATGTTCCACAAGGTCAATGTATGTAGAAAGGGAAGGGAAATCATTAAAGTTGTTCCACAGCCCTGGACACTTTGTTTAGACTAAGATGGCTAGATTTGAAACTATGCGTGTCAAGTGCTCTGTCCAGGCTCTCAACTATCTTTGATCATTGTGTCTGCAACAGAAGGTTTCTGGAGCATCTATTATGCTATTTTTCTTTTCTTTTCGGTGCCTATAACTTTGCCTATATAGTTTCAAAGAATAACATCTTAAAAATTTTGCTTTGTTGGGAGCCACAGCAAAGAAACTTCAGCGAGCCACAGTTCAGGATTTAAAGGGTGGAACCTTAAATTCTGCGTAGGAGGGAGGTGAGAAAAAGCCAAAAAAGTAAGACAAATTCACTCCCTTTATTTTCCATAGGAGGGAGGTGGGAAAAGCCAAACAAGTAAGACAAATTCACTCCCTTTATTTTCCTGTACTTTATCTGACATTCCTAAAATAAACCAACATCTAAACCCCATTGGCTCTTCCTCATCAACAACAGGATGACTGATACTAGAGGGGGTTGAAAAAAATTCATCAAAACTTTGAAAAAAAAAAAATCACATTCCAAAATTTGTTCTCTAAGGATAATTTAATTATCCTTAAAGCTTGCTTTAAGCATAAAGCTTGCTAGAGTTATCACGTTTATTTTGTGTATAATAGGCAAGAAATTGCATTACTGAAACCACTCTTTTTCTCTCATTTTTTTTTCTTTTTTTTTCTCCCCTCTTTGGCACAAGCAGGTTTCAAGCCAGGCATGTGTTTGCCTAAGAAATTTGGCTGCCAGTGGTAAGCAATATATTGGAGATAAACAAACCACACTCTTTCTTTTTCTTTCTGCCTTTCAGAGCGAGCACAGTGGGTTGGGAACTTTTCATACTAAAAGCAAAGAGATAACATCCAATTAAAATGTAGAAAAGAGGGTAAGGGAAGAGGGAAATGCAGATTTATTAACTAACCCAGCCTCAGAACTCCCAGGTAGTGAGGGGAAGTATCTGGACAAAGTGAGAGAAACAGCAGAGGTCTTTTGCACAGAAACTTCTGCAACTGTATTAAGTTTTCTCCCTTCTGTTTCCTAAGCATTAAGCTTGATTAGGTCAGAGTGTCTCCCAAAATTGCTGCTTGAGTGGAGACCTGCCTTCTCCCAAGGCACGAACCTGTCTGTCATTAAATATAATTTTCTTCCAAGCATTTGTCATCCTCTTAAAACATCACGCCCCATTAAATGCCCAAGATCCGTTGCTACAGCATCATGGGGAGATGAAAGCAGAGGACTGGCACGCTCAGCACTAGAGCCCTCGGGTCCAGGGTAGAGTTGCTCATCTAGGAAACATAGAGGTGCTTCGTTTTCAAGAATCACAATTAGAGAGGAGCTGGAAATAAAGGAACTGCTACGCTGCTCCTTGGCATGGTTGGGATCCCCTGCTCTGCTTGGACTGTGCTCCATCTGCTGGCTGCTCTGGTGTTTAGTGCCCAAAAGGTCTCAGGGACAAGTGGGGTTTAAGGATTCAGCCAGGATGGCTGATCTCTGCCCTGGCTAACCATAACCCTACAAGACAGGTTCAGGGACAAGTAGGGTATAAGGATTCAGCCAGGATGGCTGATCTCTGCCCTGGCTAACCATAACTCTACAAGACAGGTAGTGCTTGGGGAGGTCTTTCTGTGCAGCAGAAGCTTCCACCTTCTCACCAGGCCTTAGGTGAGAATTCCCCTCCTCTCTTCTCGCTAAGGTTCAGCCACAAACTGAAGGGTGCCCAAAGCTACGTTCTGCTCTCAAGCTTGGATTAATCCTTTGGCAAAATGAGCCAGAACAAACGAGGGGTTCTTTTTATAACCATTGTCGATCCCATAGAGATGGGGAGGCCCCCTCTAATTTCATCACTGAGGCAGTCAAAAAAATCATAGAATCATAGAATCATAGAATTTCCCAGGCCGGAAGGGACCTCCAAGGGTCATCTAGTCCGACCTCCCCGCAGTCAGCAGGGACACCCCCAACTAGACCAGGTTGCCCAGGGCCTCGTCGAGCCTCACCTTGAATATCTCCAGGGAAGGGGCCTCAACCACCTCCCTGGGCAACCTGTTCCAGTGCTCCACCACCCTCACAGTGAAGAACCCTCTCCTCATCTCCAATCTAAATCTGTTCCCCTCCAGCTTGAAGCCATTGCCCCTTAAAAATGCTTATGCATCAGGGCCTGAACGTTTCCTCGTGGTGCTCTGAACCTCCCTGACCTGTCATTTTCCCAACCCAGCAGACATCCAGGCTGAGATGGTTGCTGAGGATGTCCTGCCCAAGCTGCTCTCTCTCCTGGCATCCCGCAGCGAGGACGTGCGTCGTGCCTCCATCGCCCTGCTCTGGATCCTCTCCCAGCACCCGCACAACCAGGTAGGGGAGCTCATTGCCCAAGATCAGAAGGGAAAGAGTAGTCCTGGCCCCTGCCTGGGGTAACGCTCTGTTTTGGCAAAACAGCAGATGACAGGCATTTTGTGAAGGATCTAAAGACTCCGTGAGGCTTCACAACCCTTCTCCTTCCCATAGAAATTGATGAGGTTTTGTCTACTGCATCTGCACTGTCACTAATGACCTGTCTGTCGTGAGGGGGATCCAAAGGATCCGACCTGTTAGGAGGACCCTGTCTGTCGTGAGGGGGATCCAAAGGATCCCATAATTAATCAGGTTACTTGTAATGGGACCAAGGGGAGCGCAGAGGGGGAGATGGGTGTCCCAATCCTTGGATGTGTGGACACTACCCTGCAACTCCCTGTGGTCCCCTCCAGTCCCCAGACTGTTGGTCTCCAGGTGGGTGTAACAAGGGGCAGGACACAGGAGCACCATGGAGGCAGCTGAGGACATTATTCCTCAGCTACAGAGTTTCCCCACACGTTGAAAAGCAAACTAATTTAATGTGTACATTTAAAGTGCATCAACACAAAATAAAGTGCAAAAATACTTGCCTATAGAGACAGTTATTTCAAAGTACATTTGTATAATTTTAACACCTTTTGAATTAAGATCAAGACAGCAAGGGGGAGGCTAATAAAATTTGACATCCTCTCTATCTGTAGCTAATTCACCAGGACTTTCCTGTGGTTCTTTTGCCCACGTTCAGGGTAAACACCACCCTTAACAGCACAACACTATGCAAATACATGAAGAAGCCTGACTAGAAATAAACTACAGCAAATAAACAAAACAGACACCCCTGCTGTACTTTCAGCCTCTGCATAAAACCAGTAAGTAGAGACTGATGGATTATTATTTTCAAATATGCTTTTCCTAGGTAAAGGCATCCTTAGGAACATGGATATGGAGAAGAGAAGGCTCCGGGGAGACCTTATAGCAGCCTTTCAATACCTGAAGAGTGCCTATAGAAGAGCTGGGGAGGGACTCTTTGCCAGGAGGTGTAATGATAGGACAAGGGGAAACGGTTTTAAATTGGAAGAAAAAAGATTCAGATTAGATCTCAGGAAGAAATTTTTTACTATGAGGGTGGTGAGACACTGGAACAGGTTGCCCAGAGAAGCTGTGGCTGCCCCATCCCTGGAGGGGTTCAAGGCCAGGCTGGATGGGGCTTGGAGCAACCTGGTCTGGTGGGAGGTGTCCCTGCCCAGGGCAGGGGGTTGGAACTAGATGATCTCTGAGGTCCCTTCCAACCCAAACCATTCTGTGATTCTATGATTCTATGATATGAAAGGTTTTTGATAGGAAAAAACGGGTGAGCTCAGTTTCTGGGAAGCAGCATCCAGAGCCCAGAGCTTTCCAAAGGCACTGTGGCTTCATGGGTTTTGTGCTGGCTGCATGAGCACCAAATGTCCTGGTTGCCTGTCAAACTGCCTCACACCATCAAAACACAGTTTGCCCTCAGCAAGCTTAGAACTCAGATAACATCGAGTTGAGTTGGAGGCCCAACACAGCAAAAACATTACGTAGTGTGGGGAGTTGGACCAGATGATCTCTGGAGGTCCCTTCCAACTCTAACAATGCCGTGATGCATTAGGCTGGAACACTGTGGTGTGTTTGCTTTTCTTGCCCCCAAACATCATTTAGACTTTTTTTTTTT